CTAAGTAAACTGAATAAAAGAAAATGGTAAAGTGAAAATCCAAATAAAATAAAGTGAATAAATAAAAATAAAAAATAAAAATTAAAATAAAATAAATAATCTATTGTAATAAAATAAAATATAATTCAAAAGCAAAAAAATTAAAAAAATATAGCATAGAATAAAGTATTGTAATGAAATTATCAAAATTAAATAAATAAAACAAAATAGAATGAAATGAAGTAAAATAAACTAAATTAAAATAAAATAAAATAAAATTGAATTAAAAATAAAAACAAAGCAAAGTAGAAAACATGAACTAAATTACCATTAAATAAAATTTAATTAAATTAAGATAAAATAAAATAATATCTTTTAAAAACAAACAAAACAACCCTAAATTAACAAAAAAGAATAAAATAATTGGAAACCGTTGGAGATCGACTATAACTTTAAAAATATTTAATTTTTTTTCTTCAAAAAATTCACTGTATTATATTGAAACATGTATAAATATATTCTTAAAATTTTGAAAAAATTAATAAAGTATTTTTTAAATAAAAAAATCCCAAAAATCTCCTTTTTTTAGGTCATTACACTAGGTGTGTACCTTAAGCACTGCTACTTTCCTACTTGCAACTAAGGCCTTAACCACTTTGTTGCCCCGAAAGTCAAGTCAGATGACTCCTGACCGAAAGTAAACTGTACAATATATCCACTCAACAGCTACGCTAGTAACCTCGAGTCTTCATTCTAACCGCCCATTGCACTAACTTCTAAAGAAAATGCTCAACAAGCATGAGCTAGACTAACTGCAAGAAGCCACGTATAGATATTTTGTAAAGTAAACTTTCAAGAACACATCCACAACGCCTCAGCCCTATGCACTTGTACAATCACACATACATATATGTATGTACATAAATATATATTATATGTATATCTATGCTCTTTGTTAAGCGGTTGCCTAGAGTCATTCTGTCAAAAAAAAAAAAGAATAAAGCACAACAAATTTTACCCATCCACACTCCTCCCCCGTCTTCACAGGCATAACTCTATAACAGTTTTTGTTGAATACTTGCTTTGTGTTGACTTCCTGAAAGTGTGGTCGGTATGTTATCGTCGAGTAAGTGGCCTTGAGGCGCTGTATTATTCATTTATTCATAGACTAAAATGCATACGTGGATACATACATTCATTCATATATGTACGAGTATATGCATCTGCTCATCTATAGAAAATTTAAAGGCAAATTCTTGTGCATAAGTTTTAGATATGCAGTGGCTTTCAATTGTAATAAAGTTTTCTGCAGTCTCTTGGCGCTGTCAAGCAATTTTGCAAAGATTCTCAGCATTAAATTACGAATATAAATAATTAAGTAAAAAAAATGCATAAGTGGCGAAATATGAGTGGATCGAATCGGTTGTGAAAATATTTATAGCAATAAGCAATTTATTTTAATGAAAATAAAGAGAATATACGCAACAAAATAAATAATCAATCTATGTTAAAATTATATATGATAATGATAATATAATATTAATAGAAACAAAATTAACTAAAGTAAAGTAAAATAAAATAAAATAAAATAAAATAAAATAAAATAAAATAAAATAAAATAAAATAAAATAAAATAAAATAAAATAAAATAAAATAAAATAAAATAAAACAAAATAAAATGAAATAAAATAAAATAATACAAAATAAAATAGCTAAAACAAAGCAAATAAAATCGAAGTAAATTAAAAAAAAAATAGATAAATAAAATAAAATAACATATAATAAAATAAAATGAAAAATATAATATTGAAGCGTATAAAACAAAATTTAATGAGCTGACTGAAAATAAATAAAATGTAATGGGTTAAAGTCAACTAAAATAAATTAGAATAGAATAAAACTTAAAAATTAAAATAAATTATTGTAGATAAAAAAATAAATAAATTATAAAAATTAAAACAAGTAAGAAATAATGATAAAATAAAATCAATTAAAATGCAATAAAATACATTTAATGAAAAATGAAACCTTAAAATAATTTTAAGTAACGCATTATTAAAACTAAAAATTATAACGTACGAATTAAAAAATGTTAAAAAATAAAATAATTAGAATAATATAAAATGAGTAAAAAACAAGGTAAGAAAAAAATGACAAAATTAGTAAAGTAAGATAAAACAAGATGTAATAAAAAAAATAAATACTATTAAGTAACTTATAAGAAAAACACCCTAAACTTTAAAAAAATTACTGAAAAATAAATCGCTAACGAAAAAGAAAATTGTAAAAAAATTAATAAAATAATAAACAAATTTATTAAAAATAATAAAATAAAAAATAGAATGTATGAAATTTAAATCAAATAAAAAATTTAAATCATTAAATTTAAAACAAAATTAAATTAAACAATTTAAATTAAAATAAAGAAAATAGTAAAAATGAAAATATAACAAAATAAAAAAATGTAAATGAACATAAAAGGACTTGAAATGAATTAAGGAAAAAAATTAAAGATATAAAAATAAGTTTTTTGCATCTATAGAACATTACCCCTCTTCTATGAATATAGTAGAAAAAAAAGCCAAACTTTTCAGCACTCTTACACTCCCGGACAGTCAGCCTCACAAAGTCCCCTCCAACAAATCCTTTGCCCACCCACAAAGAACAAAAGTTTCACTCATCGGCATGCTTACCCGAACGAAGAGGGATAGTACTTTGGAGCCACTGTCGCTTAGCCTGTAGGCATTTTAATTTCATATTGCAAAGCGATTTAGTGCGCCTCAATGGTGGAGACTGTGAGTACGTCGAAAGGCTGACTGTCGTCTGTGTTATGGATTTCAAAGATACTCCATTGTACTCTTTTGCAAATTTCTGCACTTTATTAGTTTCTGAGACCAAAAGAGAGGGGGGTTACTATCCCAGCACAAAGTAGGGAGTAGCAAATATTGTAAAATACTTTGGGGAAAGATTCTGTTGTGGTTGATGATGCTGCTATGTCACCGTTAAGTATGCAATTGAAAATGCTGCAATATATTTATTTTAAATTTACTTTTTGTTGGAATTAATTGAAATATCATTTTCTTTCTTTCCCCTCTGAGTTTACTTTCATTTAGACATCTGAACCATTTGCCGCAACTTTAACATTTCACTTTTCAAAGAAAATGAAAATATTCTCATACTCTCAAATTAAGTACCGTTATAAATTTTCAATTTGTCAACGAGTTGCACTCATTTGCGTGCGTCAATTGCATTATAAATGGGGGAAATGCATAGGTTCGAGGGGTGATTTGAGTATAAACAGGAGTTACTCATATGAGTTTCTCTCTCCCTCCGCTCTTACTTTTAATTGTCAAAAATAACAAACAAATAACTAAACACGCATTTAACAAAAGAAAATTAATTAATGCTTGTACAAAGTAGATTACATGAAAACAAAAACAAATACAAACACACAACAATTGACACATGAAGCTGAGAAAACTGCCAAAAAAGCAGCGAACAAGGAAAAAGCATCTGCCAATAGCAACTACTACTCTCGGTTAGCAACCACTTTTGTGAACTCTATATTTCATTCGCCACTCACAACGAGCCATTCATGCAACAAATTGTGCCACACATTGTTGTAAATTTAATTGGTAGTAGGGGAAAATTAAATTTACACCATTCTCATCATGCTTTAAATGTATGTATACAGAAGAAAATGGGAAATGTTTAAATTTGAAATTCTAAAGGGTCATACAAATGTTATAAACCAGTTTGTTATGAAAGGTCACCCTCATATGTTTGAAAGTCGATAATTGAGAGTAAGTTATCACTTAAAAGTTGTTCACTTCAGGCTGTAGCGCGACTGAAAATTTTTTGTGCTGAAGGTGGTTAAATGTACGATATTTTCATGGTGACCATGAGAAGGGGCCAGGAACTAGACGATACCACTGACATCTGTATCATCTAGTGGCTTAAATTTATAATGCTTAAGTTCTGACGTGACGTGACCTGACCTAAAACAATTGTACTCCAGTTCAAAGTTTCGCTGTAACTTTTTTTGGAATACTAACTAATTTTGAAAATATATATATATATATATTTGTGAACATAAAATTCACAAATATTTGTGGTTTTATAATTTTTAGCCTTTAGAGCGTATGAGATGTGTGTTAAACCTGGAAAAAATTCAAAATAGACAAGCTAGCCTAAAAGTATGCTACTGATTTATTCCTCAATTAAGCTTAAGCTAAAAGCTTAAAATCTAAGCTTCCAGAAATATTCGAAAAATTTTCAAGTCACTAAAATTTGTCTGTAACTGAAATTATGTATGATTAGAAATGGTCTTTTTCTTTTTTTATCAATTCTTAAGGGAAGTTGAAGGCATTTAGAATTAAACTTTTTCCTTAAATCAATTCTAAAACTAACTAAGAACATGTCATCAATATTTCAGCGGCCAATTCGACATATTTTAGAAGCTCGGACTAAGCTTGAATGGTGCCGGTGATAGCAAAAAGAATATAAGTATTGTACATATGTCTGATCGAAAAAATCAAAATGATATAGCTTCAGCTTCAGTATTAAACTATTTTCTATTGGAACTAAAAAGGAAGAACCAAACTTTCATTTAAAAAACTTTGTTGAATTTTTTCGTTTCAAAAAAGTGATTTTTTCAAACTTCGAAGATATTTAGAGTTCCGTAATTTTTTAGTTCATTTAGAGGAGACAGTCGTAAAAGTTAAAAAAAAAAACAAACTAAACAAAAAAGAGGTTCTACTGTTTCAGATGCATCTCGAGACCTCCACCATCCCCGTTTCACAAGTTCAGACTGCAGCCGCTTCAGAAAACTTATCACAATATTGGAAAATTCCAATATTTTTCGATACTAAAAACGTTTTTTCGGTTTGTAAAGGCGACAACTGTCTTAATCTAATAATCATTTTTTTAAGTCATCTCTAATACCTTCAAAATCTAAGAAACAAAACAAATCTAATTAGTGTTATATGCCTATTTTCAAAACTTGAAAGCACATGGGATACTGACCAAGAAATATTTTAACTTTCGGAGATAGCTAGAGAACTGGCAAACAAAACTTCGGATTCCTGAACACAGAAACATCGGGAATAACATCAGGACAGACCAATTTAAGACTGGGTAATGTATGACCAAGCAAATTCTTTCGAATAAAGTTTGGTGTCCTGAAGCAACATTGCCTTATAATAAAACGCTGGAGTAGGTACAGGAATGAATGGAGGATGAGACTAAAGAAACTAAAGTAAGTAACCTTGATGCATAGAACAGAAGACGTAGAGTCTGTAATTTTTTTTTGGTATCGCATCGACAAAATAAAACGAATATCGAATATGCGGTGGCCTATATAGGGTAAGACAAAAAACCTCAGCCTTGGCGTAGTCAATGATCGGTCTTGATTTCTTTGAGAACCATGCTAAATTTTGTTTAGAATCCTCTATGGTTTAGGGTATCAGGAGCTATTTTTAGGGTAAAAAAAATTTTTTATTTGAGGGACCTAATGGGTTGTTGCGTGATAAGAAAAATTAGTAAAATAGTGAATGGACACCGAGGTTCTCATCTAAACTAACTTTGAGATTTTCTCGTGATAACTTGCTGGAAGGGATATTTTCTTTTCGCCAATAGCTAGGCGGTATAAAAGCTTCAGCTGTCCTGACGAATATCACTTGAAAAGACATTCTCTAGCTCGGTTTTCTGGTTTCAGGCACATAGAAGGGAACTTTAGCAAGTAGACTTTCTAGGGAACGTATGACCAAGCAGATAAATTAAATCGTAGTCATGACTTTTCTCGACATTAAAATTGCTAAGGAGGGTATATATTTATGAGTTGGTTATGATTCTATGTGATCACAGCTCGGTTGGCCATAATTCTGGGAAAACTTGAAAATTTAACGACATATCTAGAGCTTTAAGAGGATATGAACTCAGAAAGGCTAATGGTTCCTTTCCGAATATGTTCTAGGAAGAAAATCAGAGGAAATAATTCTTCGTAGCTAATGTGACTTAGTTTGAATTAAGTTTCAAAACCACAAGGTAGAAGATGAGGTGGTTACAGAATGACTGGTAGTAGCGAGCTGAGAGCGGCATATCTTCGAAGCTTTGAGAAGGGATCTGGGTGCTTCTAAGTAAGAGCTGATTTCTGCACTCCCCAGCCAAACAGTATTGTACTTAAATTTTATTTAATTTCTTTTTGTTTGTCGTTCTTCTTGCCATCATCTACAAGCTCCAGTGTTGTTGTGATTGCAAGATGAATGTGACTCGTTTAAAAATTTATGAGCAAAATCCGTCATTTGAATTGCAAGTGTCGCAAACGGACGGAGAATTAAGTGAATACGAACACCAACGTATATATGTATGTACATGTGTACATATGTACATATGTTTGTGTACGAAATGTATATAAATGTGGTGAATGCGCCGGCAACAAAACGTGTAAATTGCAACAATGCAAATGTAAACAATGAATAACTTGGAAATTCCAAGAGACGTCGAAATGGAAGTGAAGGAAACCGACGCTTGGGCGCTGAGCACTCCTCTGTTTATGGACTCCGACGCACCTATAGCCAGAAACACATACACATGTATATACGCATAAGCAGTCATAAGATTCTTATAAACGTAAAAATGCATTTAAAATTCATTTGCAAATGTGCTTTTGCTTGTGTATGTGTGTGCGTGTGTGTGTATGTGTGTGTGAATGCATGTGCTTTGTGCGACATCACCCGACCGAAATACATGAATGAATGCATTAATTTTGCATCAAGTACCGGTACAACAACAACAAGTAGTCGGAACTTCTTTAACTGCAATCGTTGTTGCCGTCCGTCACACACTGCTGCTCCTTTTCAACTTCCCCAACGTCAACATCAACCTCACCACCGTCAACTTGACTACTCCAGTTCAGCTCCTCCACTCGATTGTTGCCGAATTCAATAGCGTTGGCAATTTATTGTTGTAATAAGTTAAATGGCGAATGTAATGAGGCAGTGACCCCGTTTATGTTTGCTCAGCATTGAGAAGTTGCAACAAAGAATCCCGGCCGGAGGCGATGAAGCGACGTGTGCATTCAACTGCACTTCGGTATGTGACACATGGGCAGAGCGAAAGAGAGATGTAGTAAGAAGGAGTGATGGAAATAGAGTAGAGGGAAAAAGTTATTCAATTAAATGAATGAGCTTTGCATTCCTTCACGAGAAGCTTTAAGCACACACCGAAAGAAGGATCAACTGCAGGGGCAGGCGGAGCTAGTCGGGAAGGGATTTTGTGCATTTGTGCAGGAAAGAAGTCAAGTAATTTAAAAGTGATACAGATGCTCATACATACATAAATAACACACTTGGGAGCTGCAAAGAAATGACAGGAATTCTCTGCTACGAACAGTTCTAGTCTTCCAGTTTTTAAGAGAAAAATTTTTTCCTTCTTGCACTGCTAATTAGGCCAAGATGATAAGCTCATAAATGAATAATTACTTAGACTTTTCATAAAAGAGACTTTTAAGCATGAAACGGCTGCAAAGGCTAAGCACTTTGGTTTACTGAAAACCTTTGTAGAAATAAGAAGAGCAAAAACTAGTCGGAGGGTTCAAAGGAATCTATAAAGTAAATGAATTTCTTCTTCTTTCATTTGAAAATTTGATTTACTAAAAACCAATTGAGTCAGATCCAGAAATAAGCAAAAGAAAGCATTCGAAAGACAGGGTAAATGTTTCAACTATAAGAGCAACAATCAAGAAAATTAACCAGCTTTCAGAGCCCCTCCTCGTAAAAGTCTAACACTTCTGCCAAAAAGTGTTTTTACCAAATTTATCGATTTATCTTGCCATTCCTAGTTGAGAAACAATACTTTTAGACTTCATCACACGATCGCAGTTAGAGTTTAAGACCACGCACAAATTACAAACATAGAGAATCCTTTTGTACCCAAATGCGATCTCTTCGAGACGTGAAAAAAGCCGTTGCGCGATGTAGTGAACACGCCGTAAAGAGCTTTAAGTAAGGCCAAAATAGCGGGGCAACTCGATTAGTCCTTCTCTGTCGAGGTTGTGCTCTGCACTTTGAACCCGAGTCGTAAAAAACAGCTTTAATGACAAATAGAGCAAAACCTCGAATGAGGGACACCACTTTCGTTAAAAGCGAATTATGGGACGGCATTTCAAGCTCTCAACGTAAAGATCACACACAATGCATGCTATATGAAAGAAATACAGAGAGTGAAAGACAAAATAAAAAGACCAAAATTCGTGAGTAAGAAGAGCTTCAGCACCTGGCGGACTGAAGATAAAGTTGGTAATTTCTATCAGAAAATGCGCCAACTTAAAAGAGATTTCAAGATCGTAAAACCCTCAAAGAGGTTACCTGGTGAATGTTGTCCAGTGTATTCTAAGCTTTTAGAGGAAACATTTCCCCAACCAGCTGAATGGCGGTGAAAGTAACAACTCCGGAGAGGGCTAACCCGAATCCCCAATCGATTGCGATAGTCGAAACGATCCATAATTCAACTATGAAGAATTCGGACAAGCAATTGCCCACTTGAAGGGCAGCTAACCGTTCAAACTGATCTATCGGATGAGCTATTAAACCTGACGATTGCAAGCGGAGAATTCGCTAATGACCCAAACGTGGTTAAGCCGTGAGAATTCTGTTATTAAAAAAATAAATGCTCCAAAGTTACGGGGGTTACATTTAACAACCTGCACTTTTTCACTCCTGCAACAAAATTCTAAAATCGTTAGGCGGCAGCATCCATGGAAAAGGTAATGGGCCGATCGGTTGTAAATTACGCTGCTTCGATCTGGACGCTAGGAACGAGCGAGCTGACTACAACGGTTTCCCACAGCGAACCCTTTCATGAGCTTTCTTCTCGTGGATGGCGTCCTAGGAATCCAAGCACCATTCATTGTTGATTTTCAGCAGAGCTACTCTTCCAAGTTGGGATGTGCGTATTGATGTCATTTAACAAAATGGAGGTTCCTACAGTTTAATTTTTAATCTTAATTGGCCTTTCAAATGTTAGTATGCAATGCTGACGACCACACGGATATCGTCGCAAAATTAAGATCTGGTTAATGCAATCAACTTAATTGCTATATAACCAGACTTAATATCATCATACCCAACGTATGTCCTGCATACAATGAGATCCCACAATACTGATCATCTTTTCGTAAGTCCCTTAAAATCAACTCATCTATTTAACAACCATTTCCCACTGATCTGAACCCGTCAATTCAGCTTGTTTCCAGGACCTCTCGTTAGATAACTTCGATGACTTAGAGTAGTTTCGAGTGCTCCTAAGCGAGGTTAGCGAGCTGCTACAGCAACAACATTGATACCTGAGTGTGCTCCAAAAAAAAGAAGAGGAAGAGTACTAAATCTATTCATTTTTGAATATAAGGTATTATCGGGTATGATGTTCGAAATACTAAAGCACACCGGAACCGGTATTCACTAGGTGCCAAATCTAGTTAAAGATCGTTGAGAGAATGAAGATAAACAACACACCATTTCTTCGTGAGTTTAAAAGCAATATTTGAAAGCAAAAAAAAGGAGCTTCATCTATGCGGGACTTTGGTGAGGAGCTCTCCGAGCCGTTCAATACTGCTTTTTCAGACAATCCTGAGCTTTCTTAAAACCAATTCTTGAGAAAATAATACGAGTTTCAGTGCTAAGCAGTCCAGGTGCAATCTTCTATTCCTACTTTGGATTGAGTAGACATTTAACTATTTAATTCAAGGTTTGTCGAGAACTAGTACTATAACCTGGTAATACAATTTTCAGGTAATTTTGTAATTTGTAATCTAAATTCAAAATTTTAATTGCATTAAAAAATTAGCCCCAAAAATCCTCCCTTAGCTAAAATTAATAATTTTCGGATCTTCTCTAATTTTTTTCATTTTTCCACTTACCTCATTTTCGGAATTCGGAGATATTTCACTGCAAAAAATGAAATTAAACTTAGATTAGAAAAATGTAGATAAAAAAATGTTTGGTAGAATACTGGGTACTTAAAGACAATAAGAACTTTGTGAAAAAAATAAAAGTATTTTCGGCAATTTCTACATTTTTACACACATACATGTACATATTTTTTATTATTTTTATTTTTTTTTAATTTTTTAATTAACTTTGTTTTCCTTTTTTCAGTAATAATAACCAATAGAAAAGTTTTCAAATAAGTTCCACATTTCATTGACTTGAAAATAAAATACTGCAATTTCAAAATTATATTATTATAAAATAAATAAAAATCTCTCTACAAAACTATTTCTCTCATTCTCTGCTTCTCTTAAAAAATCAACTTTGTCCTATTTTACGAGTGACAATTCTGTTTCGCAACAATTTCCACTAATTAACTTTTTAAGTATTTTGGTGTTGCATCATCAGTGAGTTGAGCTACCACCACACCCCTTTACTTTACTGCTGTCTCATGCGGCACTGATTTTCCGCTACTCAACAAATGTTAGCTCAGCAGTTGTTAGCTGCGTCGTTGTTGTGTTGTTTATTTGTTGCTAAGTAGTCGTACTTCGCCACTTGTCAGTCATGCAATTTAACACCGTTGAACTATTTTATGAGAGCACCGAGAGACTACTTAATGCGTCGTCAATATGCCGAACAGCTGCTGCTACTGTGATAACCGCAAAACGCGCGCCAAAAATTGTTGCTTGACAACATTGTCGTGTCACATACTAGCAAGAGCTGAGAATAACAGCAACCGCAGTAGTGGGTGATTTCAGTTAAACGGAAAAAATATGTCTTTTATTCGTCATGAGAGTATGAGACTGATATACGAGCTTCATTTGATGCTTTCACCCATCTAGCCCATCATGCACGCAACCATCTGTACCATCATTAGTTGTTACAATTTATATCCTTAAAGTGGAGAATAAGGCTGGCGAGGAGGGGGAAGGAGTTTCATCTCTTGAGCAGAGGTATAACGATGATGGCTTAGTGTGTGTGTGTGGGGGAGAGGGAAAGAGAGAGAAGGAATGTAGTAGCATCGTCACCAGAATACTATGGTATCAATAATTCATCCACTAACTCAGCTCGCTGGCCGTTGTAGTGAAAGCATATTTCTTGGCGTACACGCCAACAAATATTGCTGACAATGTCAGGCAACATTGTCAAGGGCTAATAGTTACTTTAGCTCCCGCGACATAAGCTCAACCACTCGCCCTCTGACCACAGCCAGCAGTTGCGTTAACTAACAATGCACTCACACCACGCACACACTTTCAAATATACCCACAGCTCCATGGTTGTGGCTGCCATCCAGCAGCTGGAGTATTTTACCAACTCAACTCAGAGTCTCACTGTCGAACGCTTAAGTGGCGATGAAGGATTTAACGTCGTCTATTACTTCGCCAATGGCGGTTAAAGAGGACACACATTTGTATTTTATATTTCACTTTTACAACTGCTCATGATAGTTGTTGCTCTGAAAAGTGCCCATTTCAACTTAGTGGCGGTTGAGGTAGTAAATTCTCTTTGTCTCGCTGTTTGTGGATTCATTTACGGTGTGTTGAGCTGGTTAGCAGTTGGCTCAAGTGTTGGATTATGTAAGTGCGATTGGAGAGAGAAGACACTGAAAAGTACTCATGGATATGTCCTTTCACTAGAAAACCCTTATGTCCAAGCTCGAGGTGATGAGTGAGCATAGACTTGTCCCTGGTCTTTATTCGTGGAGAGAAGACTTTACTTTTCATTTGACTACACAGTACAATGTATCGCGGGTGGACTTACTTAATCCATAGAGTGGACTCGTTTTTTTCTTCGGCTCAACCCACTTAATAAGTTTTCATATTTTCGTCTATCCATGAACTATTTGGAGTATCTACTGAAGGAGAGAGGTTGTAGTGTCTTTTGCAGACAATGCAGGTGCTTGGCCTGGCCTTGTAGGTAGCATAAAAAGCTTAGATATTTGGGAGTAGTGAGTCCAGTGACCCTATGCCCGAATTTATTAGATTCCGAGATTAACCTCTCATGCCTTTCGATGGTTTTAGCATAGTGTTTCCTGGTTGGGGAGTCCAGGTTTAATAAGGCTAACGCATTCCCTTCTTCCCAACAGGGCTTGCCTTATAGAAGGCAGTAGTAAGAGACATGCTTCTGAAAAGATCTTATCGTTATCTGACGCTGTCAAGTTCTGAATTGGGCAGTGTGGAAAATGAGCAGAGCCCTGCTTTTCACAGTTTACAGGATTCAGTACGAATAATAGTACGGAGTGCCGCCGTAGGGAAATATCTCCCAACGATCCGTCCTCCATACCTTGTTCTCTTTGGAGAGTATCTTGATTATGATAGCTGTTCCTCAATGCGTCCAGCGGCACCACTAGTCTTACCTTCCTGCCAAGATTCACCACCTCATGTCGAATAAGATTAATACGAACAACGCAGCTTAAGGCCTCCAGAATTCGTGGTCCTTTTGCAGCGGAAGATATTAACATTTGTGGCTGATATTATCATTGAAGGCTCTCTCATATCATCAGAATGTGAAGTTAAGCGGGAAGAGTTTTTCTAAGGAAATAAGTATCTATAGGTTTTCGAGACGAGTGGTTTTCAGACCTATTCTAGGTGTGGAGCAGAGTAGCGAAGAAGACCCGAATAAGTCTATCTGACCCCGCGCAAAACAATTGGAGCTGTGCCATCCGCTTTAAGGAAATATCGGGGTAGCATCTTGATTTGCGAGCTTACAAAATCCAAATTGAGCAAGAACTAAGCCGACTGAACATCAAGCCAGTCGCACGCACGTGTGATGAATGCGCAAAAACCGAGAGGGCCACCGAGACAAAAAAAATTTCGTTCTGCAGCGAAGGCAACTTATTAATTGAGTGGGTATGTTAGTAATAAAAATTGCCCCCTTTGAAGAGATGATAATCTAAAGACATTGTTGAGACGTTGTTAAATTCTCAAGGAACACTCGGTTCGGTTTGGAGTGTTCTATGGGCAGAGAGAAGCATTAGGCCATATTTCTTCAAAATATAAGTTACCGCCGATTGGGAGACCTATATAGCCATGATTAATGACTTTTTCATGCCTCAATTGAAGAGCCGACGTGGATGGACGACCATTGGTTCCACGACCCTGCATGTCATACTCCCAATGAGTTAATAATTTTGTGGTAGGAAACTATTGGTGAGTGTATTATCTCACGTCCTGGCTCTATGATGTGACCTCCAATATCGTGCGATATAATACTTGTGGGGTTATGTGATGTCATTGGTCAGCGCAGATAAGCTCGGGACGATAAACGCCTTGAAAGAGAATATTCAGCGCATTATCTGCTGTCATACGACCCCAAATTGCTGCAAAAGTGGTCGAAAATGGAGCTTCTCGGGTAGAATTGGTGAACTATTCTCAAAATTGTATAGAAATACAGTTAATAAATACGAAACAGAAAAAAAGCCGAGTGGTTACCGTTGCGTACTGCTTTTGAAAATATACGGATCTTATTTGTTTCGACCAACAATCAAACTTTTAGAAAGTTAATTTTTCTATTTGCGACCGCCCCTCGGCAGGGAATGTCCATCCCTCCGAGTGTGTTTCGGACATGAAATAAAGCTCCTCAGAAAAATCCTTCAGCCGTTCGTAGGCGGCTTAGTATAAACTGTAGGTCCCTCCATTTGTTGGAAAAGCATCATGACGCAAAACCACAAATTGGAGGAGGAGCTCGGTCGAAAGTCACTTCAGCGGTTATAAAGCGTCATTTACTTATATTATATATATATATATATATTTATAAACTCTTATTTCTTTCAGTGCAACTCTATGTCTGGCAACAATGTCGCCACACTGAAATTGTAACGCTTTGTGGCTCAGCTAATATTTGATTGTTTTATGGCAACACTGCTCGTAACTTTGCTTATGGAGACCATTTCAAGTGTTCTCAACACTCATTAAATATATAAGAAATTCGAGGTTAAAGTTTATATTTTAGTTTTGCAAAATTTACGCAAAAAAATGCAGGTAATTAAATCTAAAATTAAGAGTAAAAAAAAATGTCAACAAATTTATTAAATAATTTTTTACTTATTCATTTCAGGCACAATCTGAGCACCTTCAATAATAAGAAATCCGCCTAGAACTGTTTACTAAAGGAGCAGTGAAAAAATCTAGAATTTTACTCACGCTGCCTTCGAGCAGAAGACATGATATAAAACAGTAATCTCAGCTGTTATTTGTTGCCAGAAATGCTAGCGGTAGTGATGACGGCATAAGTAGGTGGCACCTGCGGCAACACCTGCAACTTGGCGGATATGCTGAGCGAAGCACAAATCTAGGGCAACTACATAGGTAAGAAGGTAGGGAAGCAGAAGAATGGAATATTGAGGCAGAATATTTACTTACACTTTAAATTTTTTTTCTTTTGCCACATTTTTTCTTCTTTTCGACTACTCCTTACGCAAGCAAATGAAATAAACAAATATGGAAATGGCAAATAAAATAACACGGCTTCAAATAATTTTTTGATCTACAATTCTCTGTGTTGTGGCACAGTTGCGTTGGCTGTTCTTTTTCAGCCTGTGGCTGCTACATTACGTTGCGAGAATGTTTCTGTGCTACATATATATAATACATATATGCATACGTTTGAATAATCATTATAAGTTTATTTCTTTTTTTATGAGAATATATATATATTAATGTAAATATGGATGTGTATGTGTGAGAAAAGCTTGCATCATCATCAAAGGCGTTTCGCCTGCCTTTAAATTTGCTCACACACAATAACATATTTATGCCGATAATAATGGAAATATGTACGTATGTACGTATGCATTGGAGGAGCACATCTGGCAAAATGCATTGATTATTTCGCTTTCTTAATCCAAATCTCTCGTTTGTTTCGCTTTCATATTTTTTGCTTATTTGAAAATCATTCAAAATATTCAAAATCATTTTTACATATTTTTGTAGAGGAAAATTAAAACAATAACAACAAAGAGAAAAAATTACTTTTAACACAAATCGAAATTTACAGCGATGTCAACAGAGGAACGAAAGAAATATTTCGGCATATCGGTAAGTTTTTGAAACACATGCTTCCATTAACATTTTTAAAGCTGATTTTTTCCTCGGAACTATACGTCTTGATGTTTTTCCAACAAAACGAGGGACATACAGTGTATACTAAGCCACCTCCGAACTGCTGATGGTTTATTTTTCTTAAGAGGAGCCTTTATATCAGGTCAGAAGTACACTCAAAGGGGATGACATTCCCTGCCGAGGGGCGACCGCAATTAGAAAATTTGACTCAATTTAATTTTAACTTAAAATTAATTTTATTTAACTTTTTGATGTTGATCGCACCAAAATTTGCACCCGTGCCTTCCGAATAGCAGTACGCAGTGCTAATCACTTGGCTAGAGCGGCCACCAAAGAAATTACCGATTACATCTCATGTGCATGATCTCTTTCAAATGTTGGCCGCGGCTTCGTATCGATGACTCATTTGAGCACTTCGACTGGTAACTGGCGAATTGCACACGCGTCATGTTTTGCCTGAATCGAAGCGCGATTATCCCTTCAGACTTTAGATTTTGTATATCCACACAACGAAAATTCTAACGGTGTGATATCACACGCTCTTGGTGGCCAATCGATCGGCCCAAACCGTCCGTGAAATCATCTGCTCGCCGAAGTGTTCTTTCAATAAATCCATTGGTTGATGCAAGGTGTAGGGTCACTTCCTTGTGCTGTTAAAGCCGAATGTTGCCGAAATTAAGGGCTTCAATATCTGGCTTCAAATATACGGTTATCTTGGTGCGAAAACGTTTTTACCGGCATCATTGTTCAAGAAATATGAAGCGATGATTTCACTAGCTCACAAACCAAACCAAACTGTTATTTTTTACTGCTTGAAATGGCAACTCTTGAAAATCTTCAGGTCGCTTTACGTCTCGAATGCCACAATTTCGCTTGTTCGCATACCCATTCAGTCGGAAATGGACCTCAGTGTTGAATAAAATTCGGCTCGAAAACTTCGGATCTTGCAGAAAATTTTCAAGAGCCCAAAAGGCGAGGCGCTATCGCTTGGGAGGTCGAGCACAAGCTGTATTATGTACGCTTCCTATTTAAGATCCCGACGTAAAATGCGCCAAGTCGTTCCATACGTCAGTCCGAGTCGCGGCGAATGGCGTCGTATCGACTCTCCAGGGTCTTCGTGTACACTCTCAGCTGTGTTTTCTTAGTTGCAAGCTGGACCTGATCTATTCTGTCGAAAATTATCTTATGAATGCGGGAACTCAAGATGGGTGACGGTTATGCGAATAGCACGCTTAGTGGGCCGGTTTTTGTTGACCATAAGCTGAGCGAAGCGCCCGAAACACATTTTTTATGGCATAAATTTTGAGGAATCAATCTATAATGTTTCTAATAGAACACTTACATACTCATTGAATAACTGAGGAATCAACGCTAACCTTAAACCGCTAAACGAGGAGATCTGAAACTTGGAAAGGTAAGAAGTGTCTTGTGTACCAAAGATTTTCTCCGGTCGAAGAAATTTTTGTGTAAAGAAACGGCATTTAGAACTCAGAAACTTTCCCAGTGGTATTAAGAGGCTTTACTCTAAGCCACCCCCCTAAAAGTGGTACAAGCTTCGTACAGCAAGTGGAAAATATCTGAGTAAAGACGCTTGCAGTATGTTTCAACACATTAAATACCGCTGAAAATGCTGAGAAAATTAAGAAAATTGTTATGAAGAATGTACAAATCGAGTTCGCAAAGTTTAGAAATTGTTGAATGAAGTCAGAACGATTCTGATTCTTACTTAAAATGAATGAATCTTGGATAAAAAGTTATGGCAACAAATCCAAAGTCCAAAGGAAAGAGAGCCTGGGACCCACAAATTTGGGGTTCTAGACTCTTGTATTGTTTTTTTATTAGTATTTTTTCTATTATCATAATTTAGTGGTTCAGGAATTCTTACCACGTTGTTGATGTAGTCAAAAAGTAACATTATCCCCTGGTTAATGGCGCTTTAGATGATACACCTAGAATCACTGATTTTTCGTAATTTTTTTTCTTGTACGGAAACAACCCAGTTTCTTATGCCGCCACTAACATGCTCACCAGATTTGAGCTCTTGTTGCTTTTTAATGTTTCCAAGATGGAAGATACCCATGGAAAACGACCGTTACGTTCAAACCTCAACAGCTCAAAATCGGATAGCTGAAAGAACTTGAGGGCATATAAGAAACACGTTTCAGAATTGTTTCGAGGATTGGAAAAGATGCGTAATTATGTCGGAGACGGAGTACTATTTTGAAAAAGGCATAATAAAATTTTCTTACAAATAAGTTTTTTTATTATATTCACACAATATTTTTTCACTGTTCAGTGTACAGTCTCCCGACCAGTCAATACAGACGGCAAAGGCCACTGTTTTGCTTTGTGTCCCATTCACTAATCATTAATTTTTTATTTTTTGTAAGTATTCATATATTTTATTTGAAGTATTTACAGCCGAAACCTTTAATTGGATTTGAGACCTTAAACCGTTTTAACTGACAATGACGGTACAATGAATGGGCCATCATTAAGAGGCAAAACCATAATTCCAATACAATCGCCGCTTGCAGTCATTCTCAAGCTTTATGTAAGACAAGAACTTGTTACATTTTTAATTGCCATTCAAACTCAAACTAGAGATTATCTCCGATATAGCCGATGCTGCCGGCACAAAGCCACTTGGCAACGCCACGTCTACTTGCTCACTTGTGGTATTTTCAATTCTATGCCACACACTTTCAGCTAATTGACTGCTATGTCAGCAATAAATTGCTATATAAATAGATTTTCTTGCATATGAGCATGAGAAAATGAAATTGGCTTTAAATGCCAATATAAATATATGTATATATGTAGATACATATGTATAGTATTTTTTGCAGAACTTAAGAACTAGCTCATATGCTTTGATAAGTGCCCGTTAGAGCATACAAAGGGGTAATAATATAAATACAAAACCAAACAATCAAATATTAAAGTGGTGAGAAAAACTCCTACTTTATTACTATAATTTCCCGAGTAAATTTTGAAGTGGTCCGAAATCTACAAAAGTGTGACTAGTTACATATGTAATTTTTTTAATTTAAATACAAAACCAAACAGTCATATATTTGAGTGGTGAGAAAAACTCCTACTTTATTACTATAATTTCCCGACTATATATTGAAGTGGTCCGAAATCTATAAAAGTGTGACTAGTTACATTTGTAATTTTTTTAATTTAAACATAAAACCGAACAGTCAAATATTAAGGCGGTTTGAAAAAGTTCTACTTCATTACTATAATTTCCCGACTAAATTTTGAAGTGGTCCGAAATCTACAAAAGTGTGACTAGTTACATTTGTAATTTTTTTAATTTAAATATAAAACCGAACAGTCATATATTTAAGTGGTGAGAAAAACTCCTACTTTATTACTATAATTTCCCGAGTAAATTTTGAAGTGGTCCGAAATCTACTAGAAACGTTTGTAATTTTTTTTTATTCCCTTTTTTTTTGTATTTTATTTGAGTTAAGTATAAAAATAAAAATGTGGGTAAATACCAAACTAGTTACGATTTTGGCCATAATGCACCAGTATAGAACTAATATGTTTCTAACAGAAGTGAGAAAAAGTTCTACTTCATCACTATGAATTGGTACTAGAAATAAAATTGATTTTTATATTCTCTTCTTTTTTGTATTACAAGCTAAATAATAAAAAAAATGGGGAAAAAAGCCAAACTAGTTATTATTTTGTTCATTATGAACCAGTTTGAGACTAGTATGTTTCGAACAGAATAGTGATAATTGAAAACTCGTATAAATACAAAACAGAGCAGTGAAATATTAAAGTGGTGATACGGAATTCTACTTAATTACTACGATTTCCTGACTAAATTTGGCACTGGTCCAAAATGTACAAAAGTGGTACTAGTTAAATTTTTAATTGTTTTTGTTTTATAAGCTCTATATATTAATAAAGAAGAAGTAAAAACCTAATTACTTATTTTTGGACTATAATGAACCTGTATATCACTAGTATGTTTCTAACAGAAATATGACTATTGTTAAATCGTATAATTTAAATTTAAGACCATGCAGTTTTGACTAAATTTTTCACTGATCTAAAATGTCCAAAGAGGTACTATTTACATTTTTTAAACTTTTAAATTTCGTTTTTTTTGTTATATTTAAGATGCTTATAAATTTAAACTAGTTACTTTCTTGTCCATTATGAACCAGTATGGAACTAGTATTTTTCTAAAAAATACTATTTTATTGCTAGGAAAAAAATAGGCGTGGGCGGACCAGTTCAACATCGCGGAAGTACTAGTTTCGCATTAGTTGTTAACTAGTCCATTACAATAAGTGGTATATAGATGCTGTTGCACATATTCA